AGATAAAATAAAGGATAACCAGTTAAATTAGAATTTCAGGTAAAGAAAATATTTTAGTATACGTATGTCCCAAATATTGCATGGGTTATACTTATACTAAAAAAAATTTATTGTTGATCTGAAGTGCAAATTTAATTGGGCATCCTATATTTTTATATGCTAAATTTGACAATCCTACTTAGGGTCACTGGGTATGAAACCTAAGCAGTGGTGTGGGAGCTTAGCCACACTTTGTTTGCATAATAAACACTAAGAAAATTCCACAAAGAAATATGCATTCTCCCATTTTTCATGTAACCTGATCCCTCTTGGATTATTATTTGTTTCCTTCTTTTCAAGAGTGATATGGGTACAGAGAAAATGTCCCTGCCTCAGAAAAACAACAGTGTATGTATTGTGATAAACGGTAACTGGCATTTGGCCTCAGGGCCAGGGAGGCAGTAGGGAGAGGTGGGGAGTGTGGGGCACTGGGGACTCCTTTCTAACACTCCCATTCCCAGTTGGTTGTCGCCAGGAAGAACGTGGGCCTAGCACAGTCCAATCTTTCAATGTTTTAAGGGAGGGAGAAATCTGAGTTTTTAGGTAAAATCTCTTTATTTGTGAACATTGGCTGAAATTTTATTAAAATGCCACATGGGCCAAAGGAAACATATCTGCAGGCTTGTGGGCAGCCAGGGAAAAACCTCTGCTGTTTAGTTTTGGGAGATGAGGCTGCAACTTCTGCAAGCCGGGGAGCAGAGAGGCTGGGCTGGAGGCAGCCTTGGCAATAGGAGAGTCCCGTGGGGCAAGGGACTGCAGCCAGAACTGGCTTAAAATCTCCTCTCTTCCAGATAACTGCTGTGTGATGGTGGGTAGGTTGCATAGCCTCTCTGTTTTCCAAACCATTCAGAGGCTATAATTGTATCCATCTTGCTGTGTAGCTGGGAGGATTCCACTGATGGAGTTGATGTAGGTAAGGTGCCTGGCACACGGTGAGGGTATGCTAATTCCTTTCCCTGGGAAGGGCTCACACTTAGAAGTTTGATGTGAGTATTTCTTTTTCAGGTCCTTCCTCGTTTCCTTCCTTCCTTCCACCTTCCCTCCCTCTCTCACTCCCCCTTCTCTTCCTCCTCCTCCTTCTTCTTTTTCTTTTTTAATTAAATTGTGTGAAGATTTAGGGCCAGGCATCAAGAGAGCCGGGGGCAGGCCCTGGCTCTATTCCAACCTTGAGGTGAGACTGGGGAAAGATTCTCTTCCTCGTAGGGCCTCAGTTTCTCCCTGTGTGAGAAGGTAGGTCTGACTGGAGCTGCATATGCTCTTCCAGGGGGGCCAGGGTCATGCAATTCTGTGGAGCCTTCTCAGGGAGGGATGGGGGCAGGGATGGTGGCCTTGGCGGTGATGGGAGGTGGGTGGCTGGAGGAGGCTGAGTCAGAGGGCGCTCTCAGGGCTGGGAGCAAGAGAACATACCAGCACATAGTACCCAGTGACTCGCAAGCCATAGGAAGCCAGCAGCCCCTGTCATCAGGGAGCCTGTAAACACCCTCCAAGGAGAGCTAGGTCCCTGCTTGTCTTGGATCTGACCACGGGCCCATCCCAGCGATTTGGGGTCAAAGCTCTTAACAGATCACCCTGCCAGGAACATGGAAACGCCGAGCCCCTCCTCCCAGCTTTCTGAGATCTGACCTCTGCTCACCTCCCCTCTCACGCTCCTCCCTCTTGCCAGGTCAGAGTCTGGTGAGTTTCTCGAACATGCAGTCCTCTTCCTGAGCCTCCAGGCCTTTACACAAGCTGTTTCCTCCACCTGGACTGTCGTCTCCCTCTTCTCTAGGCCTCCCCAAGATCACGTTTCCTTCTGGTTCAAATGTTAGCTCAAAATCACCTCCCGTGGGAAACCTCTGCTGGTTCCCAGGTGATCTCAGGCCCTCTTGTAGCCCCGTTCATCTTCTCCTATGGCACTCACAGCCACCTGTGAGCTATATCGCTCTGCTTGTATGTTTGATCAGTCTGTCTGTCCTCCTCTGGAGGGTGAGGACCGGGGGGTCATTTCTGCTACTACAGCCCATTCATTGAATGAGTGAATGAGCGAAAGAACAAATGAAGCGAAAGAACAAATGAAGCTCTCCCAAGAGTCTGGGAGACCCTCTCAGGCCCAGCGAGCTCAGCGTCCTCTCAAAGGGATGTCACAGCAGGTCAGGTCATTCCTCAGCCTCAACCCTCCCGTATCTCCCCACTGCACTTATGAAAAAATCCCAAACTCCACCCGGGGCTTCCCAGTGTGCCCCAGGATCTAGCCTGGCTGATCTCTGTAACCTCACTCCCTCCCCGCTGTGCCCGCTGCCCCATCCCAGCTCCAGCCACGATGGCCTCCTTTCTGTTTCTCCACCAACCAGGTCTGTTCCTGCCTCAGGGCAAGCACGTTCTGTTCCCTGGAATACTCGGCGCCAGGCCGTCTCCTAACTTATGTCCCAGTCATGTCACCTCACAGAGGCCTTCCCCACACACATTCTTCCTCAGGTCACCCTGTTTTGTTCCTTCACAGCACGTATCACTATCTGAAATGATTTCATTTATTTTCAAGTATTTGATCCACTTTTGGCAGAGTTCAAAGCTGTGCAGAATAAAGACTTTTCCCAGCTTCCCTTGCAGCTAGGTGAGGCCATGCAACCAAGTTCTGGTTGAAACTGGGAGTATGTGTGGCAGTTTCTGGAATCTTTCCTAGAGATTTAACTGTTGCTTGCCCTTTACTCATTATCTTTCCTTCTCCATCCTGCCACCTGGAAGGCAGAGGAGAAGGCTGGTGCTGTGGCCTCTATGTTGGAGCATGAGAAGGAGGGCCACACCCTAGGGATGGCAGAGTGGCGAACAAGCCAGAGCCTGGGACACCGAGGGCTTCGTGGAATCTCCAAACCAGCCCTGAACTGCCTACATCTGGACTTCATCACACGAGAGAAAAATAAACTCCCCTTTTTAATGTTGATTTTTTCGAGTTAAGCTTATTATATTTTATCATGACTACATTTGTATGTCTTAAGCAGTACAGTCTCATGAAAAATGTCAGCTAGAGTATATGCTAGATATTTTCATTTTAACATGTGCTCTATAGGGCTTTGTCTACTCCATCCAGAATTTTAGTTGGAGTTACTGGAAGAGCCCTGGGCAAGAGAAGGGAGGCCACTTGCCTGAGGTCACACCGCAGGGGAGGGGCAGAGCTGGAATGTGACCCCTGGGCCCCAGGTTCTAACCCCCAACCCTCTTTCTCAGCAGCTCCCAGCTTGAGGTGCTGCTGCACGTCCCCCAGGACAATGCGATGGGCAGAGTGATTTACACCCTCTCTGCTTTTTAGGCCATTAGGCCAAGAGGTCCTTTCTTATTTCTCAGGGGCCCAGAGCATGTTGGAACTGTGAGAGAAGACCCTGCTTGTAGGGTCTGGTGGGGGTTGAATCTCAGCCCTGCTGCTGGCAAGCTGTGCACCTCGAGGAAGACTCCAGTCTCTCTGAGCCTCAGTTTCACGATAAGTAATGCCCCAGGGCAGGTCAGGTGCCCTGCAGATTCCCTGAGGTGCCATTTTTAGAGTGTGTGACACCTCAAGAAGGATGGAGCGCTACATCCCACAAAGTGGAAATTCCTGAAGCACAGCTGGTGTCATTGGTGTTAGGAGGAAGTGGTCAACTTAGTGCAAACTTTGGAATCAGTTCTGGGTTCAAATCCTGGTCCCACACTTAGCAACTGTGTGACCCTGAGCAATTCACTTCCCTTGTTCTGGCTTTCCTAGTGTCCTCGTTGGAAAACATGGACTCACTCATTCATTCAACACATGTGCTGAGCACCTCTCAGGCCAGACTGTTTCTAGGTGCTGAGATTCGGCCGTGAACAAGTTAGACAAAGTCCTCCTCATGGGGCTGATGATTGAGTGGGGAAGGAAGCCAGACAGCAAAGAAAGAGACAAACATGTAGCAAGACAATAAGACACATGAAGCAAACTAAAGAGGGGGAGAAAGAGATGGTGGGAGGGGCTCTCTGAGACAGGGTAGTCAGGGAGGCCTTCCGGAGGAGGTGACACTGGGGCAGAGACCTGAATGGCGTGAGATGCGAGGTTCTAGGGCAGCTGAGCCTGGTCTCTCCCATTACCCTGTAACTATTCCTGGGCCTCCCCCAGCTGAATTCTTCCTCGGAGCAGGAACTGTGTAGTGGCCAACTCTGTGTCCCAGGCACCAGCCCAGGGATGACTGGTTGAGCAGAGACACTGGCTGTCCCCGCCCCCTCCCCACAAGCGTCCAGTCCATCAGCAAGGCTGCCTGTTTAGTCTCTTAAAGTTCTCTTGAATCCATCCACTTCTCTCGGCCCACCCTCATTTCCTGCCTGGACTATTGCAGTAGCCCCCTCCCTGGTCTCCCTGCTCCCACCTTACTCTCCTGTAGTCTGTCTTCCCCACAGCATCGGCATTAGTTTCCCATGGCTGCTGTGGCAAATTACCACAAACTTAGTGGCTTAAAATGACATGCATTTATTTACTTACAGTTCTGGAGGTCAGAAGTCTGAAGTCAGTCTCTAGGCTAAAGTCAAGGTGTTGGCAGGGCTGGTTCCTGCTGGAGGCTCCCAGGGAGAAGCTGTTTCTTTGCCTTTTTCAACTTCTAGTGGTTACTTGCATTCCTTAGCTTGTGGTCCCCTCCTCCATCTTCAAAGTGCATCCTTTCAGTCTGTTTCTGTCATTGTCTCTGCCTTCTCCTCTTCTGTGGTCAAACCTCCTTCTGCCTCCATCTTATGACTCCTGTGATTACATTGAGCCCACTCAGATAATCCAGGATAATCTTCCCAACTCAAGATCCTTAACTAAATCATAACGGCAAAGTTCCTTTTGCCATACAAAGTAACATTCAGGGCTTCCCTGGTGGTGCAGCGGTTGAGAGTCCGCCTGCCGATGCAGGGGACGCAGGTTCGTGCCCCGGTCCGGGAAGATCCCACATGCCGCGGAGCGTATGGGCCCGTGAGCCATGGCCGCTGAGCCTGTGCATCCGGAGCCTGTGCTCTGCAACGGGAGAGGCCACAACAGTGAGAGGCCTGCGTACTGCAAAAAAAAAAAAAAGTAACATTCAAAGGTTGGGGGATTAAGATGTGGACATCTTTGGAAGGGGGGCATTATTCATCCAAAGGGATCTTATTAGAACCTAAGTCAGGTTCTGTGCCTCATCTGCTTAAAATTGTCCCATGGTCCCCAGCTCTCTCAGAGCACATTCAAAGCCCTTACAGTGGCCACAAAGTCCTGCACATCTGTGTGCTTGTTACTTCTCCTCTCTAGCCACAGGCCTCCTTGCTGTGCCTCAACACTCCATGCATGCTCCTGCCTCAGGGCCTTTGCACGGTGCAATTCCCTCTGCCCAGAACCTTTCACCCTGCCTCTGCCCAAGGCTAGTTCCTTGTCATCCTTCAGGTCTCACCTCCTCAGAAAGGCCCCTTTGGACAACACCCTCCCTGTAACAGCCCTTCCCTCTCCCCTCAGTCTGAACACAGTCTGAAATTTTCTTGACTGTTTGTTTTCTTGTTGATTACCCACTGTCCCCACTAGACTATTATCTCTTAAAGACCTAGTAGGGCTGGTCTGTCTGGTTCTCGGCTGTATCTTCTGCACCAAGGACAGGGCCTGGCACCTAGCAGGTGCTCAGAAAATCCTTGCTCCATGAATCCCTGAGTGGCTAACTTCCAAAGGCCCTCAATGCTGCTGTGAATAAAATATGAATTCGCTTAAAGGCATCCTGACCATCCAGGTGACTCTGGCTTGATCTGTTACTTCAGTCAGTGATTAAAACACTGTCTTCACATGTAAAAAAGTGGGAAGGCATCATTTAGACTAGGCAAGCAAGGACTTTGAAGGTCCTGGAATAGAGGCAGGGGTCTCCTAAGGGCAGGAGCCATCAGGAGTGGCAGGGGAGTCTCATGGGGAAGAGCAGGCTCACGGAGTGGGCGCTCGGGCAGTGGTGTTCTCTCTCTGTACCCAGGCTTCCACATCTGCAAAATGGAGATCATAACAGACCTCACCTCATAGCAGGGTTCTCAGCCACTGTGCTATTGATATTTGGGGCCGGATCATTCTCTGCACAGGGGGCTGCCCTGTGCACTGTGGGATACGCAGCAGCGTCACTGGCCTCCACCCGTTAGATGCCAGTAGCATTTTCCCAGTTGTGACAACCCAAAACGTCCCCAGATGTAGCCTAAAATCTCCTGAGGGACAGAATCGCTCTGGGCTGAGAACAGCTGCCTCAGAGGATCATCCTGGGGGTTGAAAGAGATGACGTGGGTAAAGCATCTGGCACAGGGCCTGGCCCCCAGCAGCTGCTCGGGAAATGGGAGCTGTTACCTGGGCAAGAGGGCGGCCGGGTTGGAATCTTGGCTCTGCCACTTAACAAGTTAGCAGGTGGCACTGGGCAAGTGACTCTGGCTCTCTGAGCCTCTGTTTCTTCATCTGTAAAATGGAATAATAATAGCGCCCACTCTCTTGGGGCTTCCAGTGCTATGCCCCGTGCACAGTAACTGCTTAGTAAGTGGGAAATCTGAGGATGAAGATGAGGGTGACGGAGGCTCCTGGGAAAAGTGGGAGTGAGAGAAAGGGCACTTTGCGAGCACAACCTGGGGTCTCTAGAGTGTGTGCCCCTGCATTAATTAGGGACACATAGTCACAAATGCCCACACCCGGGAGGGCAGCTGGCTCAGACCCTCAGCCCTGCTGGGCCATTTAATATTTAAGCTGGATAAGGGGTGACAAGGCTGGAAGGCCAGCGGTGAGCGGGGCCTGGCCTTGTTTGGCTTTGGTGACGCTATGGCCCTGGGATCATGGCCTTATTGAGCCCATAAACAGGGGGTTGGGCCTCGAGACAGGCAAGGCCGGGCCAAGGTCTCTGCCAGTGGCCTTGTGTCCGAGTCATGCAGTGGGTGGGAAGGGGGGCACTCGGCAGCAGCAGGAAAAGGGGCGCTGTGGAATGAGGGCTGTTTTTCACAGGGTCAGCTCTCACCTCCGTCTTTGCTCTGTGCATCCCGTTTCTATCTGTCCTTCCTTACCCACCGCTCTCTTATTGTCACCTCCTATATATTGAGCACTTATGACCTGCAGAACTCTGCCAGAGTACTTCCTGTACTCCCACCACCCCTATCATGAAGGGAGTGCTCTGCCCCCTCCCCAAATGAGCAAGGCCTGTGACTACAAGTCCCATTGCTCAGGCAGGGAATCAGAGGCCTGGAGCGCTGAGTCACCAGCCCACGGGGGCAGAGCCACAGCCCAGCCCAGGTCTGGGGTCTCCCCAGCTTGCACTTAACCCCATGCCCCGGGCCATCGCCTCTGTACCTCCTCCTCTGTTCTCTTCTGTCTGTCTGTCGGTCTGTCTGTCGGTCTCTCCACCCAACCCCACCCCCGCCCCGGGGCCCTGGCTTTCTCTGAACAACTTTCTATTGGTGTTTTCCTGTATCTCCGTGTCTCTCATTTTCCACCTCAATTTCCCCTTTTCACGCTTTGGGTCTCTCTCCCTCCCTCCCTCGGGTTTCCCTCTTTCTGGTTCTGTATTTCTCTTCTTTACCTCTCTGAGTCTCTGCCTCTCGAACTCTCTGTCTCTCTGTCTGTTTGTCTCTCTTTCCTGTTCTCTCCCCCCTGGCCTTTCTCCCTCTGACCGCCCCGCCTCCAGGCCCCGTCTCCCTGCAGCCAGCCCTTGTCCCGACGCCAGCACATTATGTCCCTGGTCAGACCCTGACGTCAGGCGGGGGCCTGGCGGGCGGCCAGCAGCCGCTGCCGGGCAGGCGGAGGGCGTGCGCGGTTTCCCGGGCCCCATCGCCCTCCCAGCCCTGCAGCTGGGGCTTCAGTTCTCCCCACCTGGCCTCAGCTGGCTGCAGAGTGGACGCTGGCGCTTGGTGGCCACTTGGCCTGTGAACCTGGGGTTACACATCACTCGCCTCTCTCTCCCCTTCATCCCGACCCCAGGGCCATAAGAGACAGCTCCTGGCCCTGCCTGGTCCCCAGAGGGAGATGGTACAGCGTGGGGACAAGACCTGCGGCTGACGAATCCTGACTGTGTGACCTTGGGCAAGTCACCCAGCCTCTCTGAGCCTCATCTCTGAGGCACCTGCCGCTCAGGTCTGCAGGGAGGATCAACTCTAACAGGGGGCTTGCAGTGTGGGAGAGGTGCCTGGCCACTGTGGGAACTCAGCGTCACCACAGGGTCGCACCCAGCAGTCCTCAACAGGGGAAGCCTCGGAGAGGTGCGGGGGTCTAGGTGACACCTGACTGGGGACACAGCTGGTGTTTAGAGGGTAGGGACGTGCATGGGGTGGGGGTGGGGGATGGCCAGGCACGATGGAGGAACACCCCACCCAAAATACAAACAGTGGCCCTGCCGAGAAAACCTGCCCAAGCCCAGTTGGTCTCAGGCCCCATCAGAGCCTGAATAAGTGGTTAAAAAAATGTCATATTTCTTGTTTGGTTTGTTTGGTTTTCTCCCCCTCTGATGTTCAAAGCAATGCGATTTCCTTGAAGGACATCTTGAAGGGCACCTGAGCATCCTGGTTTAAAACAGACTTTAGGGTTAGACAAACCTGGGTTAAATCCAGCTGTATGGCCTCTGGCCAGTGGCTTCCCTGGCTGAGCCTCAGTTTCCTCATCTGTCAAATCGGGATAATAAACATACGCACATTGGAGGCTCATTGTGAGAAGTAAGCAAAACAATGCTTCCAAAGCACAGTAGTCTTTTTTCCTGTCTTTTTTATTCTTCTAATTTTAAATATAGGAGATACAGAAAAGTACAGAGAAGAAAACAAGAAGGTCCCCCAGAGAGAAACACTCAACGATTTTCGTGGAAATTTGGCTCAGTTAACATATTTGTCCTGAGATCCTACTCGTGCCTGCTTTTTTGTTTTTCATGAAAATAAAACCTGATTTGAAGTTTTCTTTAAAAATATCTTCGCCTATTTTATTACTATTGTTCTTTTTCATACGCACAAACTCAAACGGTTTAAAGGGCATCCAGTGAGCTGCGAGGCTCTCTCCCACCCCAGCCTCTGGCTCCCCTTCCCGGAAGCCAACACAGTTAGCAGATTCTCACATGTCCTTCCTTCCTTTCCTGGGGTTAAATCATCTTTGGGCACATGACTTCCAATCCCTCTCCTCATTTTGGTTTTGTTTGTGTTTTTTGATTCACTTAATTATAAAGTATGACATTGTTAAAAAAATAATTAGAACACACAGACAATCAAAAGAAAGGGGAAGATAAGAAAAGTGGAATCACCTGAAATCTTACTCCACCTTTAAAATTTTGGAGTACATCCTCCCAGGCTCTTTCCATCACCTGATGTCTGTAACATTCTTGCAGTCCCAGGTAGCTTTTCTTCTTAGCGCTGATCAAAGCTTGTGACAATGCATTTGTATTTGATGATCAGATAATCTGATAATTATCTGCCTTCTCCACTGTGCAGAAAGTTCCAGGAGGCAAGGAGTGTCATGCCTCTGTCCCCCACAGCCAGCAGGTGCTAACACACAGTAGGCCTGTATGGAATATTTTCCAAATGAATGAATGAATGGGTGAATTCTCTAAAGGGATTATACATTATAGTATACTATCCTGTGACCTATTTTTTTTCACTTAACATATTGGGTACATCTTTCCACATCTCTAGCTAGGCAGCAAATCTCCATTTTTCATGTCTGCATGGAGGTATCACAGTAAACATCTTTTTGATTCTGGCCAGAAGCTTCTGCCCCTAACTGGGAAATTCTTTTTCAAACACGGATCTGTTGACAAATTCCATATGAGCTACCTGTGCCCCAGCCCTTTGGCCGTTTACTTTCAGCCTGACACTTCACTGGGTTTCACAGGCCCATTGTTTTTTGGGACAAGTCAAGATTTACTGTCTGTCCTTGATATCAAGTTTTTCCAGAGAAGCTTAAGAGTGAAGAACTCATCCCACCCCCATCCCACTGTTTCATGAAACAGTGCCAGTTAAATGTTCTGTAGAGTTGCTGAAGCTGGGAAACTTGGTATAATCCTTGCCTCCCTGGCTGCCTCGTTGCAAATAGCACACACCAAGCTCATTCCTACCTCAGGGCCTTTGCACTGGCTATTTCCTCTGCCTGGAATATGCTTCTCTTGGATATTTACTTGGCTTACCTACTTCAGGTCTCTGCTCAAATGGCCCATTCTCAGACAGGACTTCCTCAACCATTTTTCTAAATTAGCATCTCTAAGTCACTTGTCCAGTTTTACATTTCTTCCTAAAACACTTACCTGATATCATATCATATCATATTATGTTATGTTATGTTAATCTTGGGGGTTTTTCTTATTTACTGTCTATCCCCCTGACTACGAGGGCAGGAGCATGGTTTGTTATCTTTCCTACAGTATCCCCAGCACCTAAAACAGGGCCTGGAACATTACAGGCATTCAATATTGGTTGAATCAATAAATGTTAATTCCAGGATTCCAAGCTTCCTTCCAAGGCTGAGAACTGACTGTCGTTTTCATTCATTCATTCATTCCAGATTTATCTATTGAGCACCTGCCGTGTGCCAGGGCCTGTCTGGGTGCTGGGAGTACTACAGTGGGTAAGGCAAACGGGCCCTCCTCTTAAGGGATGTGGTCAGTGGTCACACAGATGCACCTCCACCTGGATAACATCCAGGTTGACTTGCTGGCCTCGGGTGGCGGAGTACGAACTGGGCTTGTGTTCTGACACACGCGGGTTCCCAGCTCTAACTCAGCCCTTGCAGAGCTGGGTAAACTGCAAGGCTGACACACACAGGAACAATATCCTTGTCCTCTTTTTTTTCTGCCTGAGGTTCCTTCATCATAAGTGGAGAAGAAATTAAAAAGTGATGCCAGGAACCTTTCTGCATCCCTCCCACAGGCCCAGCTGGGGCTTTGCTTGTGGAACTAAGCTCTGCCCTACTTTCTGGCTGCCCCACACCTTCCTCCTTCCTTCAGGGAAGCTCCTACCCGAGTAGCCACCACTCCCCAACAGAGATGCCAGAAAACTCGCATTCCCAGCCTCCCCGGCAGCTTGGTGCAGGCATGGGACTTGGACTCCACCAGCCAGACATGCCTGCTAGAGAGATGTAAGTAGAAGAGAAGGGCAGGACAAGAGTTGCGGAGGAGAATGGACCTGGCTCTGGGGGATGCAGTGGGAGGGGTCCCGGGAGAGCAAGCAGGCTCACTGGGACAGCCCTCCCATAAGACCTGGACCTCGTTCCTGGCTGTATAGCCCCCAGTCCTAACCCATGGCCCACCTGGGATGACAGGTATTAAGAATATTCATGTTCTTTGACCCCCACCAAATCCCTCTTCTGTAATTCTATACTAAGGAAATAAGCACAAATAGTGAAAATGCACAAAGATGTTCACAATCTAATTACTTAGAGTGGTGAGGAGTCAGAAACTACCTAAACGCCCAATGACCGGGGAATGGTTCAGTTAATTAGGTGAGGATTCCTAAAAGAAGGTTAGAGACGATCCCTCCGGCAAAAGATCAGTGTAATACTCAGGATTAGGTACCTCTTTGAGTGGCCGAAAAACCCAAAATAACAGGGGCTTACATGAAAGAGAAACTTGTTTCTCTCTTACATAAAAGAAGCGTGGAGGCGTGAGTCCAGGACTAGTAGGGTGGCTTTATACATTCATCAGGGACATGCGTTCCTTTTCTCTTGTGGTTCCACCACGACCCAAGATAACCACTCAGTTCTGGCTTCATATCTGCATTCAACCCAGCAAGGAAGATGGGAAAAAAGAGCAGGCAGACTCTCGCTAAGGGCACTACTCGGAAGTTATATCCCATTGGCCAGAGCTTGTCACATGGACACACCTAGCTGCAAGAGAGGCTGGGGAATGTAGTTTTTTTCTGGGTGGTCACATGCCCAGCTAAAATTTAGGATTTCTATTACTAAAAAAGAGGGAGAGGTCAGAGAATTGGAGAGAAGCAGGGGGGTCTGCCACAACAGCAACAATTAAAATAATGTCCGGGAGGATTTTGTAATAACATGAAAGAAACATTGTACGGTTTGGGAAAGCAAGATTTGAAATTGTGTGTCCAGTGTGATTACAGCTGTGTAACAAAATTTCAAAACAGAGAAAGCTACTCGAAGGACAAAACTGCTAGAAAGTTAGCCTTTGTGGGAATAAGAAATGTCCTTTTTTCTTTTTATTCTGTATTTTCCAAATGTTGATAATTGAGCAAATTTAATTTCCCAAAAGAAAGAATCCCTGTGCAGATTATAGAGTCTACTTGAGCTATAATTCATGCCACACAAGCTCTTTCTTCGAATGTGCCAAGGCAGCCAGATGGGGAAAGAAGAAATGAAATGATCTCTAGTCACAGACAACATGATTATGAATGGAGAGAAATCCAAGGAACCCACAAAATGCAACTAGAAGAAGAGGGACCTGGGACTTATCACAGGTTCAAGTCATAGATGTGCTGAAATGTCAGCTCCGTGACCTTGGACAAACCACCAACCTCCCCGTTTCTGCATCTGGGCAGGGGAAGGAAGAACAGTATCCGCCTCTGGACGTGATGAGGGCTAAGAGGAAGAAGCTCCCGCAAAGCACAAGCAGCAGAGGGATCTGCACGGAGCAAGCTCTGCACAGAGGTTCTCAGCAGTGATTTTGTCCCCCCGGGGGACATCTGGCAATGTCTGGAGACCTTTACAACTGGGGGAGGGAAGAAGCTACTGCTATCTAGTGGGTAGAGGCCAGGGATGCTGCTATCGTTCTACAATGCACAGGACAGACTCCCTCTGCAAAGAATACCCAGCCCCAAATGTCAATGGTTCTGAATGAGAAACCCTGCTCTCAACACGCATCAGCTGTTACCATCATCGAGCTTGTTTCCTGGCTTTTGCTGTCATGAACTGCACAGTAGTGGTCGGTGGGGTCACATGCCTGTGGACACGTGTGTTTCTGCAGGATGTGTCTCTGGGCATAGAGTCGCTACAGCAGCCCTGCTCTGCACTTTCATATACTGTAGCCTCCCGAATGCCCCTGAGAGGTCTTCTTCATCTTATCTCAGGCTCTAGACTAGGAGGTTGGAATGTGTCTGCACCCAGGGGAGCTGGGAGAAGGGGCAGGATGGCCGCCGGCCCCCAGGGCAGTGATGACGCAGCTGTGACTGCTGATACGGCACCACCCGCACGGTATCTCCCCAGTGCTTCCTACCCTGTGGGCACTCTGCTTCGCTCATTCCATCCACCTGAAACCCCCCGAGGTAGGCGCTGCCATCAGCTCCACATCAGAGATGAGGAAACAAGCTGAGAGGCAGAACAGGAGGCAGATCAGCTGGCCCCAAAGCCGGCACGCTCTCCCTAGACCTTGCTGCTCTGGCCTAGGGGTCCTTGGCCTGATCATACATCAGAATCACCTGGGAATTAAAAAACCCCAGATCCCCATGTGCCCCTGCTGGCCCGGTCAGGTCAAGCTTGGTTGTGGAATCAAACACATCTTAACTTGAATTTTGGCTGCCCCACTTGCTGGCTATGTGACCTGGGGTCAGTGACTTTACCTCTCTGAGCCTCAGGTTTGTCCTCTGAAAAAAGGGTAGTGTTAGCTACTCCCTCAGAGGGTGGCCATGAGGATTCAGTGAAATGTTCTATGTCACAGGCTGAGCATGGGGCTTGGTACACAGCAAGCACATGTTAAGTGTTAGTTTTTATTTTTGGAGCAGGGCTTAGGCACGTGTGTGTGTGTGTGTGTGTGTGTGTGTGTGTGTGTGTGTGTGTGTGTGTGTGTGTTTAAGCTCTTTAATTAATTCTGTTGTGCCTGGCTAGTTATCTATCCATTCATCCATCATCCATCCAATCATCTATCCGTCCATTTATTCAACACATTTATTTAACACAAACTGTGTGTCTGGCTGAACTTTTGTCCCTGAGGACACAGAAGTGATCAAGATAAAAAGCCTCACCTCACAGAACTGACAATATCAGTGTTGGGAGAATAGACTAGGTAATAAATGAATAAATATGTAAAGTCATATGTAAACAGCATGGGATGGAGCTCCTCTTAAAGATGGACTGAGGGGCTTCCCTGGTGGCGCAGTGGCTGAGAGTCCGCCTGCCGATGCAGAGGACACGGGTTCGTGTCCCGGTCTGGGAAGATCCCACATGCCGCGGAGTGGCTGGGCCCGTGAGCCATGGCCGCTGAGCCTGCGCGTCCGGAGCCTGTGCTCCGCAACGGGAGAGGCCACAACAGTGAGAGGACCGCATACCGCAAAAAAAAACATAAAAAAAAAGATGGACTGAGAAGCTGACATCTTCTGCTTGTCCTTCCAGACCCCCTCTTTACCCTGCACTGTCTCAGGGCAGATCTGTGTGGACAGCATCAACCTTGGGAGCCCACGCCTCCCCAAGGCAGACACGAGAAAACTCACTTTCTTAGCCTCTCTTGCAGCTTGGGTGCGGGCGTGACACCTGTGTTCGGGAAACAGCAAGGAGGTCTTGGAGGTAGCTGTGGGAATTGAGGTTCAGAGAGGGCAAGGGGCTTGTCCGAAACCAAGCAGTGGTGGGGTGTGGGGAAGGCAGAATTTGAATCCAGGAATACTGGATCCCTCAACTTGAGCCCTTCACTGGTTTATGGCCCTCACTGCGGGAGGGCTGCATTGCGTTGAAAGGAAGGCAAGGAAAAGTGTCCCACACTGAGGCCCACCTCAATGTTTATCAATCACATACTGTAACCCAGGCCTGGGCTCTGCACTTTCATAAGCACGGGCTCACAAAAGCCCTACAAAGCAGGATGAGCAAATCTGGGTTCGGAGAGGTCAAGCAGCTTGCTTGAGGTCACACAGAAAAGGAATCGGGATACAAACCCACTGTTTATCTCCAAACCCTTTGCTCTTTGGATTACAACCCCCTTGCAAGAAGAAGACCCATCGAAGATGTAGCACCTTGTGTCTGACTCTCTGCCCACACTCTGAGCACCCTGGGGTCAGGGTCCGCATCGAAAACTTCTTGCTACTTCCAGATGAAACCCAGGGCGCTATATATGGTAAGCCCTCAATAAATACCACGTCAACACCGCAAGAAAGCACAGCCAACTTACAGGGTTTTGCTTGAGAATTACAGAGGCTCAGAGGCCATTCCTTCTCACACTTTTTCCTCCTACATGTCCCTCCCATGAAAACTCTAGCTGACTCATTCTTTGACCTCATTTAGCTCTTCTAAAATGGTGGCTTTGCGAGGTGGGGGATGAAAAGCAATATTTCCCACATTCTCAGCCTGGACTGTAGTACTTAACTGTAGGGCCTTCCATCTATCCATTTACCAATCTGTCAACAGTCCACCCACACACTTCCATCCACCTGGCCTATTCACTCTATCCAACCTTCCATTTATTCCTCCACTGATCCATAAATTCAAGCATTACCCATCCATCCATCCTCTCACCCACAAATCCATCCACCCACACTTCTATCCACCTGCCCTATCCACTCTATCCAACCTTCCATTGACTTCTCCATTGACCCATGAATTCAAACATCATTCATCCGTCCATCCATCCATCCATACAACCATCCATCATATCTGTCGCTCCCATTGTACAAGTACCAAGTCTTAGTTGTCTCTGAGTCTAGCACAGGGCTTGGCACCAAGGGGATACTTGGTATGTATATGTTGGATAGATGGATGGTATAGGAAGGGCTCGTTCACTCATTTTTTCCACATATGTTCTATGTTGCCTCTTAGGTGTCAAGCAGTGTTAGACCCTGGAGAACAAAGATAAAGGACACGAGGTCTTGGGCTCCCATCCTAGTGATAGAGACAGAAGTAAATATGAACCAAGGCAGGAAGTGCTCGTTCAATAGTCATTTTGTTCATTCAGCACGTGTTCGCTGATGCCTCCCACATGCCGGACCTGGGCTCTGGGGACACCAAGATATAAAAGACTTGGCTTTAACCACTTGTAACACAGTCCAATGGAGGAACAACAGTCCAATAGGGAATTTCAGCAGAGTGATCAGCAGACATGAGCTGCAATCAGGGTGAGAGCAGGGGTCCATGGAGGCAAGGAAGGTGGCCAAGGGAGATTTCTGGAGGAGGTGGGGCTTGGTCTGAGCCCTAAGGATGGGAGGGGCTCTGCTCAGTCAGCCCCCCTCCTCAGGATCCCCACGGGGCCCCCAGGGCACCCCTTCCCACCCAGGCAGCCCTTTTGAGGCTAGGACTCAAACCCTGTCTCAGGACAAGGCCCTGGGAAGCTGGCTGGCCGAACCTTGGAGACTGTCCCACAGTGACCAAGGTCTATTGGTGACATTGAGGTTGTTTGTACAAATGTGCTCCATTTTCTAAGCAGTCTCGCTCACAGAAAAAACAAAACAACTCTGCTGGCATGGCGTATGGTGGGGTGTGGACGGGGTAGCTGAGAATGTCTACCACGTATGGTGCCCTGGGGAATGGTGGCACGGGTGCCAGTGGGAGGGGAGAGTGGGAAGGACAGAAGCAAGGCTGGAGATAGATGGTGGCTGGTGGCTCGCAGGCCTTAGGAAGGACTCAGGGTTTGATCTGAACGGTAATGGGGAGATGTTGAGCTGGATTCAAATGGACTAAAACATAAGATTCAAAACTTCCAGGTAGCTAGTGATTAAACCATTTACATATTCATTCATTCCACCAATATTTGAGCACCTACTCTGTTCCAGGCACTGGAGAAACAAAGGTGAACATAACAAACCCAGACTCTGCCTTCCTGGGGCCAGAGGGGACACAGACCCTGAATCAAAAAATCACACAATGAAATAGCGATAAGCACCACCAGGGAAGGCTTCTCCAAGGTGAAGCAAAAGCAGCTGGTTTAGTACTTTTTTTGGCCAATATACATTGAGCACCTACTGTGTCAGACACTGTGCTGAGTGCAGGGGTGCGGGATGAGCAAGATAGACCGAGTTCCTGCCCGCAAGGAGCTGACATTCCAGTGGAGGAGACACACCAATAAATGGACAGCAACAGCATAGTGAGGTGAATGAAGCTGGGGTACGTAGAGGGAGCCGGGAGGGCTTCCTGGAGGAAGGGGGTGAGCCGGAATTAGGTAGGGATTGTGCACGGGGTGGGGGAGGGGCAGGTTGGGAGTCTCCGGTGACCTGCTGGGCTTAGGAGGCAGTGGGGTGTGGCGAGAGATGTGGTAGCCTTGGGAGAAGGTCAAGATCCATTGGAAGGAGACCTAAGGCTGTGGACGCAGGAAGGCAGAGGGTATCTGCGGGGCTCCCTCTGTCTCTCCATCTCCGTCTCTCTTTGTCTCCTTCTCTCTCTCTCTCTGTCTTTGTCTCTTCATCTCTGTCCGTACCTCCTCTTTGTCTCTCTCATGATCTGTCTCTGTCTTTATCTGTCAGTACCTGACAGTCTCTCTGATTCTCTCACTGTCTCTCTAGGCCTCTCAGCTTCTCTTTCTCTGACTCTCTCTTGTCTGCTCTGGTCATCTTCATGAGATGTCAGTAAGAGACAAGGATACTGGGAAAAAAACCCCGAAGGGTGGGCAGGAAGTGAGGCCAGGGGCACAAGGACAGCTGAGCACAGGGACGGGCGGTGACTGAATGTTCTGTTTTGGAAAGACTGCTCTGGTCAGGGGCGAAGGTGGCTGACCACAAAACTTGATAACCTGGCCAAACTCGGGTTCTAGCCAGCCCTGTGGCCAGCAGCCCCATGACCCCATGGATGCCGCACAGAATTTTCCCAGAGGGAGGGAGAGACGGGGAAAATGGCCCACGGGCAGTTTCTCCTCTGGTGAGCGGGACCAACAGGGAGGGGTGGAAATAAGGGAACAGTGAATTCTCAAGCAAGATCTCAGTGTGGTCTAGAATAGGAAAGCCCTGCTTATTGCTATATCCTTTTCAAAGGTTTAACAATTTATTAAGCACTTACTGTGTGCCAGGCACTGTGCTAACCCTCTCAAGTGGAGCCTTGCGGTGTAAGACCAAGGACTGTGGAGCCAGACTGTCTGAGCTTGAATCCGGGCTTTACAAATCACTAGCTCTGTGACCTTGTGTAAATTACTTAAGCTCTTTCTTCGTGTGTAAAATGGGAAGAAAGCAGTACCTGTCTCATCCATCAGAGGTCAAGATTAATATTGTTTAATACTTGTAAAATGCTTGGAATAGTGCATGGCACATAATAAGTGCTCAAGAAAAATCTAAGCTGTTATGATTTCAGCCTTGCGATGGACAATGTAAAGCTAAGGGGGCAGAGTGAGTCATGTCTGAATCCCTGCTTCATCCCTTCCCAGCTCTGTGATCCTGGTTCAGTCTCATAACATAACTGGGTGTCAGTTTTCTTACCTGTTCAGGGAAGATGATCTTAGTACTCACCTCACCAGGGGGTGGAGGGCTTCTATGTATGTGTAAAGTAGATGGAAAGCATTCACCTCACAGGTGAAGCAAGTGTCCAAAACATTTCATTTTCTTTTTTCCATATGTACAGCAGGTTCAGTGTCTCCCAGAATATCAGAGATATTCTGGGTCCTGTGCTCTTCCTGTCCTAAAAGAGAGTGGCAGTTGGTTAGAGTTGGAGCAAGGCCCCTTGGTGCCCAACATGAGTCCTGACAACAGCCTTCTGATGCAGGCATTATCAACCCATTTCACAGAGTTGGAAACTGAGGTCTGGAGAGGTAAACAGGCTGCCCAAGGCAAAAGGTTCACAAGCACCTGCTCCCCTGAGCTGCTCTTGATCTGAACTCCTGTGACAACCCCACCATTTATGCCATCAGAGGCATAGGACCTTGACCTCTCTCATGCTCAGCGCCATGGTCCTGCCTCAGTATCCCCTGAGCCTGGCCCAGCGCTGGCCTCAGAAATGTTGGTTGTATCAGACAGAATCCACAGGCCCAAAGAGCTGCACTGTCCCTGAATTACCTCTCCGCATCCTCAGCCTGCTTCCTCATCCTCTGCCAGCCAGCCGGAAGGAAATTCAACATGGCCACCACACCCCTAAATACTCCCCTCACTACCAGGGCAAGAAGCAGGTGACAAGCACAGGCAGTGCGGAGGAGGGGATAGAATGGGGTCTGGAGGCCCAGAGCCCCGAGTTCTCATGCCTTGGCTGTGTGACTTTGGACATGGCACTTCCTCTCCATGCTGAGCCTCAGTTTCCTCATCTATAGAATGGGCACAATCATCATACTATCCACCTCTTCAGTTGATGCGAAGAAGAGAGGGAGCATGGGTACAGTGCTAGGCATGGGGCAGACGCTCAGAAAATGACAACTGTCCCTGCTATGTGGGAGGGGCGGCTGAAGCCCTCTCCCCCCACCCCAGTCCTTCAAGCCCAGTTTGGCTCTTCATGGTCAATGGTGAGCGCCTCATGAGACAGTATAGTAGTTAAGAGCATGAGCCCTGGGGTCAGCTGCCTGGGCTCAAATCCTGCCTCTGCCACTTGTTAGCTGTGTGATCCCAGACTTAAGTGACTTAATCTCTCTGGGCCTCAGTTTCCTCATCCATGAAGTAGATGTAATAACAGCCCCCACCTCTTTGAATTGTTGTGATGATCAAATGAATTCACAAATGTAAAGGCTAGGACATGATGAGCACTCACAGAAGTGTTTGCTGCTCTTCACGGATTGAGGGGGAGAGGGGACCTGGGGGCCTCTGCACAAGTTACAAGAAACTCAGGGCCCCGGATGGAATGGGGGAGCTGGGGAAGAATCCCGATGGGAACTGGGGAGAATTTCAGAAAGCAAGGCGACCATATTGAGGAAAGGGCTTTGCACAGGCCCCACGTGGCCCCGGGAAAGGCCGCTGCACATCTGTCCTCTCCTGGGAGCCCAGCAGAATGCTCGGGCGTCTCTGTAACAGGGAAACTCCATCCTTCCAGTCACTCGGCCTGAAACCTTGGAGTCATCCCTGATTTCTTGATTTCTGCCACATCTGGCCCAGCAGTGTGTCCTGTCCACCTTTAGAACAGATCTAGAATATGAGGCCATGGACTTCCCCCCATGTCCCCACCTCTGATGGCCGCCCCGGGCCTGGTCACCATCATCTTTTGCCTGGACCATTGCAGTCTCCTCCTCTCTGGTTGTCACCCTTCCCCCCGGGCCCTGCCAGTCCCTTCTCCACACATAGTCAGGGGGATTCTTTCAGAACCAAGGTCAGGCGATGTTGACCTGCTCAGGACCCTCAGTGGCTCCCAGCTACCCCAGATAAAAGCCTGAGTCCTTCCTACAATGCGCAAGGCTCTGCACTATCTGTCCCGCACCACTGCCTCCCACGCTGCCCCAGCCACAGTGGCTTCCTCATCATCTTCACATATGCCAGGCACGATCCAGCCTCAGGGCCTTTGCACTCACTGTTTCCTCTGCCGGGAATGCTCTTCCTTCACATAGCCCCATTGCCCAATCCTTCATCTCTTTCAAGTCTGTCCTCAAATATTTGCTCAGCGAGGCCTCCTCCGGCCCTGCTCCCATGTTTAGATCTGTACCTCTCTGTGGTGCTCCGTCCCCCTTCCCTGGTTTATTTTTCTTCTTAGAATTTATTGCTAGGGAGGCACATCTGAAATACAATATATTTAATTTACCTACTAATGTGTATCCCCCTGTCCACCCCTACCCCCAAAATGTCAGCAGGGGGAGCAGGTTTGCCTGCTGAGGTCCGGACACTGTTCCAGGGACTCGGAACCCAGCAGAACGAAACACTGAGTCCCTGACTTCTTCTTCTTCTTTTTTTTTTTTTTTTTAATAAATTTATTTATTTATTTTTGGCCGCATTGGGTCTTCGTTGCTGTGCGCGGGCTTTCTCTAGTTGCGGTGAGCAGGGTCTACTCTTCGTTGTGGTACGTGGACTTCTCATTGCGGTGGCTTCTCTTGTTGTGGAGCACAGGCTCTAGGCGCGCGGGCTTCAGTAGTTGTGGCACACGGAGCCCCTGACTTGTTGACACTTCAGCCTCATGGATCTGAATGCCAGCACTGCCATGAACTGAGCAGGAGACTTTGAACCAGTGAGTGCACCGCTCCCCGGCTTCACTTTCCCCATCTGTGAATGGGACAACGATCCCTCCCTCCCAAGGCCATTGTGAGGCTCAGCGAGCAAATGTCTCAGAAGCGCCTGGCACCCAGTGGGCCCTCAATCAGAGCTCGGTTCTCCCCTGTCCAGCCCCCGGGGCTGGCTGTCCCCCAGTGGACTGTGCTGGGAGCGTTATTTTTAACTGTGGTTCCAGCAGGCTAGGCAGCAGCTCTGAAGGCCGCGGGAAGACCACAGGGCTAGCAACATCCGGGCTCTTGACGCCAGGAGACTGCGGCGTGGAAACATCAGGGGAGGATGCCCTCTGTTCACAGTCTGCCCGGTAACCCTTTATGCGAAATTATGTCATGTCACCCGATGCTGTTTATAAACTTAGCGCTGACCTTTCCCAAGCAGGGTGCTGGGAGAAGGGGCTATATATCCCCATCTCCCCACTGGTCCACCTCCTCGAGGAGCTGTTGGCGGCCCCTCCCGTTCGCCCACATTTACACAGAGCAAAGTTGGGGGGCTGGCCTCTGGCCAGACTTTGCCCGTTTATTTCAACACCTCCGAGTGCTCACAGCTGACCAGCCCTGGATATTTTTAAACCCTGGCCTGGGCCAACCTCTTTGTCACATTATGGTCGGGGCTTGGACTGAGTGCATGCCCAACAGGGGAGCTGAGGGTTTGGGATTCATTTGACAACAAACATATAACCAAATTCCAGGACCTATGCGCCTACTGTGTGCCAGGCCCTGTAGCAGGAATGGAAGCCTCAGGGGGCCTAACTCACAGAGCCTGTCCTCCAGGTGGCCTCAGTCTTGCGGGGACACTGCGACAAGTGCTAGAATGGAGGGTAAGATAGAAATTACAACTCGACTATCTACAGGGCCAGCAGGTTGTGTAAATGAATGAAGCGGGCCTGGTGGGAGGTGACAGTGAGGGGTGGGGACTGCGGTGAGCTGGGAAGCTCCTGCTGGGTCTGAAGGGGGCGGCCGCCCCTCAGCTCTGACCTCTGTTGTCATGCGGGAATCAGGCCTGGGGTGCCCAGAGCTTCAGAATTTTCAAGGGAAGCTGCAAATCCACGTTTATGTGGAGTTTCATGCAAAAATCTCATGACTTTTAAAGGTTGGCAACGAATTAAAAAAAAAATGTGAAAAACATTCCAGGGGGGCTTCCCTGGTGGCGCAGTGGTTGAGAGTCCGCCTGCCGATGCAGGGGACACGGGTTCGTGACCCGGTCCGGGAGGATCTCACATGCCGCGGAGCGGCTGGGCCCGTGAGCCATGGCCGCTGAGCCTGCACGTCCAGAGCCTGTGCTCCGCAACGGGAGAGGCCACAACAGTGAGAGGCCCGCATACCGCAAAGAAACAAAACAAAACAAAACAAAAAACATTCCGAGAGCCAAATGAAACCCATTTGTAGGCTGGACTCAGCCCACAGAGTCAAGTTGATCGAGGCAAACAGTTTGTGCTTTCTGATGCAAACAGATGCATTATAAAACGTTCACCACATAGGGGCTGAGCCCTTCTGCTATTCTAGACCCCAGGGAAAGAGCAGGAAACAAGATGCACAATGTCCCTGTCCTCATGTTGCTCATATTCACTCAGTGGTGTGCTGGAGCTGCCGGCACTGCTGGCTGGCGAATTCTGCAAGCTGGTTTCTCCACAGCCATCACAAAAAATTTTTAATTATTTGAACTTACAATTAAATAAACTATAATACAAATAAAAGTAACAACTACTCAAAACTCATCACTTTCTAATTAATGCACTGTTTCATATTCCTTGAGGTTACTGACATCTATCGCATGAGATTGCATCATACATCACACTCTGCGGTGGAAATAGTATCTGATGGCATGACGCTGAATACGTCTTCTCAACTCCACGTTCAGTGAAGTCATGCTGGGAGCTTGAAATCAGCCACCACGGGAGTGTTTATGCCCCAGAAATTGGCAAATGTAAACATCAGAGCTCCCCGCTTGCTGAGAGCCTGTCAAACATTCAGCAGCAAACTAGATAAAAACAAATATACGGATAATACGTATTATGTCAGACAGCAACAACTACTATGAAGGAAAATAAAGTAGGTCGAGGGATAGGTGGTGACGGAGGCGAGTATTTTATATGGGCAGGTCGTGGAAGTCTTCTCTGAGGAGATGATATTTGAGCAGAGACCTGAATGGAGGGACAGAATGAAACAGACAGATATCTTTGGTTCGGGCAAAGGGAAGAGCAATTCTCTGCCTAGAGACAGGAACAAGCTTTCTAGTTCAGGAACAGGGAGAAGGCAAGTGCGGCAGGAACAGAGTGAGGGAGGGAAACGGGGTAGGGATGAGGTTGGGGAGGTAGGCAAGGGTCAGATCATACAAGGTCTTATAGGCCATGGTGACGGAAGGGATTTTTATTCTAAGAGGGAAGGGGCGTTTTAGAGGGTTTTGAGCAGGGGTGTGACCTGACTTAATTTATCTTTTGCAAAGGCACCTCCTACTGTGATGGAGTAAAGCTGGGAAGCCAGGAGACTAGGGAGGAGACCACTGTCCCAG